TAAAATGTCAAACTATTTTAAAAATTTGGCCAAGAAACAGAAAGCAAAAGAAAAACATATAACCTGCGAGGCTTGCGGATGTCCCATAAACCAACCCCCTCCTTAGAGTTGGCTGTGGCGAGCAACCTGGGCTCCACAGGGTTAAACATGACACTGTGGAAGGCTGAGGGGTAGCTGGCCAGGCAGAATGGCTCTAAAGGAAGGGATGAGGGGAAAAAGACATATGAGGGCTACTTGAACATCAACAGTGAACAAATCTTTACACACATTTATTATTCATGCTAAAAAAAAATGTTTTTTAAATGATGTAATGTAGAATTTTTACAGGTTTTACAGACCAGTCCCAGTCCCAGCAAGAGGCAGCATGTGTATTTACTTGTTTATCCATTTCTGTGCATTTTTGGCTACAGTACAATGGCTGATCAAATACCACTTATTCTCTACATAGCCAGACAGCTCAACCAGCAGAGGAATACAAAAAATATCCATTTAACTTTTATCCTTTTAAAATGGGCCATCAGTGCCAAAACAGTCCCTGCATGGAAAACAAATTACTGCAACACGTATTAATAGGCCAATGTGGTCACAAGGAAGGTTTCTGAAATAGAAAGATATGGACACCATGCAAGATAATCCACTGCATTTTTAGTCATCAGCAAGTCTCACTAGCTGCCAACATGCCATCAGTACTACATCCACTTCAGTCCAGCAGACTCACAAACACACTGCATGATTACGTGCTGTAATCATAAAGAGATAACACGATTCATCTGTATGTCATCAAGTTAATTCTTTAGACTGATCCACAGTTCATAAAAGACTGTTGTTACCAATCTGAGACCAAGCTTGTAACTTTCCATTCTAAAAAAGATCGTCTTCACATTTCGCTGGATATTTTAAAAAACCGATTAAGAGATTATTAAAGTGCTGTCAAACATGCTAGAGCTCAATACTTTTCCAGGCTTATTGTAAACAATTGTCATAGACCCAGGGTGTTGTTCAGCACCATAAATGTGGTCTTATATCCATCTACTGCTGCTTGGACGGATGTGTCCTCTGCTACTTGTAATGAGTTTCTTCAATTTTTTGTGGATAAAACTGTTATGATCAGATCCCAGATTGATGATTCTGTTCTGGATCCTTCTGTTGCTCCTATATGCTCAGCTGTTTTCGACCAGTTTGAGCCTATTTCATTAGCTGCTCTTATGAAAGTAGTTCAGCTTGTGAAACCCTCTTATTGTCCTTTGGACATTATGCCAGCAGTT